AGAAATACAATTTGGTAAAATCAAATTCAATTAAAGTTTCTATAATATCTTGCTATAATGTTGTTGTTCGGAGCGTAGTCTGCTCTGTATATTCATGATGGTTTTTGATATATAGTTTTGGACATGTACATTGGTTTCTCAGTACCCAATATACTACATAAACAAATTTAACTATTTTACCGAAATCAAGCAGCTTTTGATAATGATTACTGTATCTTTATTAGCAAGCAAATTATATTGTTACAGATTGTCTTTCTTACGATGGTCGTTAACGTCACAAAAGAAGTGTAACAAGGAACGTACTGTACGTACGTTACAGAGTTGGGAAACGATTAAATTTTTACATATACTTAAAGTAGATATTGAAGAAGCTTGGGAAGGTGAATTTGTTCCGTATTTACAACAATCTGAGTGGAAAGTTGTTGACGGTTTTTATAATTACGTAAACGTTGGAAAAGCAGTTTAGCACCAATAATAGGAACTCAATGAATATCTCGGTAAGTTTCAGCTGCTTATATTTTCGAATATTAATTTACATGTTATTATTCTTTATTCTTTATTCGTCTACACAATATACTTCTAATTTTATTATCATTTGAGCTAGTATTATTCGCAATAGACCATTATAATTGCGACAAAATTTTTTTTTCATGTGCCGATATACCGGTACATATTCTTGATGATCGTTTCGTCCCTAATGAGAGCTAAAGGATAATAACCATTGAATATCATACGATTCTGATAAATTTAGAAATGCCTACAACTTTTATTAGAAATATACTGAAATAACAATATGAACATGTAAGACTCATAATAGATTTGTTATGTAGGCATAAAGTTAGAGACTATTGTCAAATCATAGTATAGCTTAAAAAGAAGTGGAGTAGCGACAAAAACCTTAATATACATATAATAAAATTTTTAAACTAATATTCAAAAAGATCGATATGTTCCGAAATAAATCAACAATCTACATAACTGATAACCATACAATAAATCAAGACGACTGTTCATTTACAGAAGGTTGATCATTATTAGAAAATTCTTCAATATTATTTAAAATAGAAACAACGGCTACCAATTGATCTTGTAATGCGGCAACTTGAGAACGGAGATTATTATTTTCCTGAATAGCGGAAGAAAGCTGCAATGTTAAGTCGGCAATTCGATATTCCAAAAAGGGAATCCGAAGAGGGTTATGCTGACGTTCTGTGGATTCAGAAAGCCCGATACGAAAATTGTGAATACCAGGTGCAGAAGGGTTATTAAAGGAATTGCTACCAGAAGACCTAGAAATCTTTGACTGTCGAGACATAGTTACGATCGACAAAATTCAGCCAATCAAATTGTATTCCGCAGTTGAGGCACGGGATTAGCTTATAAGCGAAATGGATATGTGTGGATACGGGTGGTCTTAGGTGGGTGAGTGAATGGAAAAGCAGTTCAATTTATAATAAAATAGTAAAAAATGGCTAAAAAACTGCGTAGAGCATATCACCCTAGCACTGGAAGAAAAATTTATATAAAAAAACTTCATAAAATTATATAAAAACACGCAATCAACTTGGTCGTGTTCGTTCTTTCGGAGCTAGTATGGGGCAAAACAACTGCATGATGGGTGTACACTTTTCAAACTCAGGCTTATCTTATACCACCTGCCATATTTATCAAAAATTAGTTCACAAAAACCGCTAATTGGAAGTTCGAATACCGAAAAAGGAAAAATGATGTCCAAAGTAACGTACTGAAATTTTTGCTTCGAAATAATTTTTCCGTGTCTCTGATTCCGAGATAGAGACTGGTCACGTGCTGTAGATCATATGCTATAAAAAACTGAGCGATAGCCATCTGAACAAATTCGATATATTTTTTTTATATAAATTCTACAATTTGCAGAATCCAAATAAAAAATTTTCATCAAAGTTGGTTAGGTGTTTGTCGAGATATCTTCGCTCAAATTTTTAAAAAAGTTTTGGTGCAGCTTCATTTTGATAGATTTTTTCGAAAATATCTCGACAACCACTTGACCAAATTCGATAAAAATTTTTTTATTCAAATTCTTCAGATTTTTAGAATTAAATAAAAATTTTCATCGAATTTGGTTAGGTAATTGTCGAGATACTTTTTGATAGGCATTGATTTTTTTTCTGAACTTTGAGCAAAGATATCTAAACAACAACCTGACCAAATACGATGAAAATTTTTGTTTAAATTTTACATATCCGTAGAATTCGAATTAAAAAATTCTCATCGAATTTGGTCAGCGGGTTTGAATATGTTAGATAAGCTTGGTCAAGATGTTCTTTAAAAAAAAGCAAAAATAAGCAGATTAAAAAGAATTGTAAAGAATTACAAAATAAAAACTTTTTAAAGAATTTTTACTAGTAATACTTTTTTTATAATTGTATATTTAATTTAACTATTAGAATTGAAATATATAGTATAATTTGATGTTTAATATAAAATAGTATTTGACTTATTGATTTCATAAAATTTTGACCGAATTGTGCTTCTGACCAAACATTTAAAGTTTAAAGAAATTCTAATTAGGATTAAGTTCTATCGCTATATTTAGAATTTAAAAAAATTTTAACTTACAAAAATTTTCTAGTCTAATATTGAGAATTTTTAAAAAATTCTGAAACCAAACTTAAGTTTTTTTAACCTAAGGCCATACAAACTTATACTATTGGTTTTCATATCACCAAGTAACTTCTTGTGACCCGGCGACCCGGCTTTTA